ACTACTACTACTACTACTACTACTACTACTACTACTACTACTACTACTACTACTACTACTGCTGCTGCTGCTGCTGCTGCTGCTGCTGCTGCTGCTGCTGCTGCTGCTGCTGCTGCTGCTGCTACTACTACTACTACTACTACTACTACTACTACCTCTACTATTTCAGCTCTACTGCTGCTGCTCTCGATGGTATTGCTCTTACTGGTACCATTATTATGTCTAGTGCTACTATTGGCACTGGTGCTATCACCTGCTACGGCAACGACTGCTGCGGCTGCAATCGCTACTGCGACGGAAGAAGAACCGGCAGGAGAAAGAACAAGGAGAGGGGGACCAAGAGAGGATGGAGGAGAGAGGGTTGGATAATGGGATCATTGTGATATTCGGATATTTGTCGTCTGGTGGTATGACGTTGTCCTGGTCTGCATTCGAATATCTGCGTGCGCGAAGCTCTTGCATGGTCCTAGTTGACAACTCTGTGAGATTCTGATTCAGGTACTGCCTATTACGCCTCTTGCGTTTGTGCCTTCCAACGTGGGCCTGTCGCGGAGGTTTTGCAATTACTGGGCCCAGGCGGTCCGCCGGCCCGAATTACAGTTCGCGCGGACGCATTCGGCCGGCGTGTTTGGTGGCAAGCTGTCTCAGAGAGAGCTGAAACGTTCTCGTGGAATGCCCCCGTGTACAAACAACGTAGGTGTGCGCAGCTGGCGGTTCCAGCTGGAGCAGGTGCAGGTAGGCACTTCGTGCCGAGAGGATAAGAATTCGGAGGAGGTCCAGTTGAGGCAACGGGGGCTGTCCCGCCCCGCGCGCATCCACTCGAAATCGGTCCGCGGACCCCTCCCGGGGTCCGTCCTGACTTGTTTTCCGAGGCGCATACAGCCGTGGCCATCGGGAGCCCCAAAACTGATACAAACATGTACAGTCGGACCGTGGTATAAGATCGACATTGGTTCGGGCAGTTACCCTAATGTTTTCGTGTTTGTTGGATGTCCTTGTGCATCCTGGGGGAGGGTACCCTCGACTGCTCGTCACTTTGTCTGGCGGAGGTTCCGTGTTCTTGAAGGGTGATCCTCTGGCCTGGATCCGACTGTACGCGAGGGCCGCCGTTATCTCGACAGGCCTTCCTCACAGGATGCACTTGCACGTGTTAGTCCCCGCCCAGCGCCGAGCTTGGCAAGGCCAGCCTGGGAACGGGAGTGGCATTGGTGCCTCCTTGTACCGGTCAGGGAGTCAGATGCGGCAGTCCTTGGCCCATCGCCCAGGCGTTTGTCCTTACAGTCTCAAGGGCGTGGAAGGAATTTGCGGTTCGCTGTTTGAAGTGCGCGTGTTAATCGACAGCGTCGAGCGGCCAGGTCTTTCATCTTTGAGTTGTTCTAGAGGGTTTCTTTGTGGTGCCGACGTTCAGAAACAGGTTGTTTCGTCCACATTATGCCGGTGATTGTATAGAAAGGTGCCAAGCGACATTTGTTGCAGATGCCATTGGTTCTATGGCATTGATGGTGCTTCAGCATTGAGCGTACCAGAACGCAGCTCTCAATAACGATCGAAGGAGTTCGTTTCCCTACGCAGGTTCGCTTACGACTGTCTCGAGCGAGGCCTGCAGATATGAGATCGCACTCGTTCTGGTTAATGTGTTCTTCTCCGTATCGTCATGGATGGTTTCACCTCGAATCATGATGGATTGCATTGGAACTCGTGGAATCCCATTATCATCAGTCTACAGAAGTCCATAGGGGTCGTCCATCGGACTCTGTACGTCTCCATAGGAGCTCATGACAATCATGTGTAATCGTGTGTGGTTGGTACATAGGAACTCACTGGACTCCCTAGGAATTCTTAGAAGTTCATTGGGACCCATGGTAATTCGTAATACCCAGGAGGGGCTCATAGACATCCAAGTGCCATGGCCATGTTTGGGAACCACTAGGAATTCATTATGTAATTAATCGGCGCCCTATACGAACCTGTATGGACCACCAGGAAGTCATACGACTCAGCAGGATCATACAAGCTCGCACGAGTCTATATGAAGTCCTTGGGATCCGTTGGATGTTGTCGGTCTCCCCCTTGCAAACACCATTTCTCAGCAGGAGCTCGTGGCATTCCTTTGGGATCCATGAGGTGCGCATGGGCATATTCCCCACCAAGCACTTGCACTCAGTGGGGTTCGCATGTGTTTTCTGATGAACTGGCGGCTGCGTGGGGGCTTCGTCGCCGCCCCGTCGCCGCCTGGTCGTCCCGTCGTCCGGGCGGGTGTGCCTCTCTGGCGGACACGCGGCCGCCGTCGCCGCCCCGCCGCCGCCCCGCTGCCGCCCGTCGGCTGGGCTGGCGTGGCGCTCCGGCGGCCGTGTCGTCGCCGTCGCACCGTCCCCGCGCGCGTGGCGGTCTGACGGCTCCGTGGTCGCCGTCGCCTCTCCGTCGCCGCCTCGTCGCCGCCTAGATTTCAGGGGGGAAAGAAACACACAGACACAATTCATCCTCGATTTCCGAGAAAATATGGGAACATATGGGAAGTGGGCGGGAAGACAGAAACCCAGAAAATATGGGAAAATAAGGGGGGATTATTTTATTTGTGTGTATTTATTTGTGTGTCCTTGGGCCCCTTCAAGATTGCTCAGCACAGATTGGACCAAATCTAGAGAACGCCGCGCAGGTTGCGCCACATAGGTTACGCTCCACGTGCATGGCGCACCACACACTGCATCACATGCGCTGCACCACGTACATTGCACAGCACAGGATGTGGCACATTACATGCTCCGTATCTAATCTCCTTAAGGAATTCGGATCGACCTCCCCCCCGTTGACTTAACGGACCCTCTTTTCGTACTGCAATTTACAGTTGGTTCTACCCAATCGTCCATCCAATGTGCGAACATACCATCCCAGCCCTCATCTTCACCGTCTGGAAATAATGGTATGCGCGCGCTCTCGTCTATCCAAAAACATCCGGATATAAGAATCCCTTACAACAAATGTGACGAAGTGCGCACGCGCGCGTCGTCTCGCGCGCATGCCGAAATCTTTCAAACATGCAAGGTTCCGTAAAGAGTTCCAAACCGCGAGTCACGAACACATAAGCGTTAACAGTTGCTTTGTAGCAAGGGTTTTCAAACAAGCCTGTGCGCACTGTCGAATGTTTAAGAACCTTACCTTTTCTCACACCAAACCGCATTTTCATAACATGCTCCCACACGGGCCTCTCGCTCGCGCATGTCGAAGTCGTTCGAACGCCCCTGCGCGCGTGTTGTCGCAAGCATATCTTGCAACAGCTGCGACGAAGTGCGCGCGCGCGTCGTCGCGCGCACGCAGGAATCGCTCAAAAACCCTATTCTCGTAAGGATTCCAAATCACGCTACCGAGGAACCCCACATACAGATATCATGTCTGGAGTGATGATAGCTGACATGAAACGCCCTTACTCGCACAACCGACAATATGATGTCTTAATATTCGGCGGCCGAGGGCGCTACATATTGCACAACTGATATCAGATCATCTTCACCTGCTGCATTGCGTAACTAACGACTGGACATCGTAAGTGTTGGCGGCCGGGGGCGCAATTCGTGGTACAACCGTCATCAGACAGTCATTGAGTAGGAGGTCGACAACATGATCGATGTGTCCCAAACTACGGTTTTGGGCAGAACATATGATTGATGCATATAATGGTTGTACATGCACCAACAATGTACGTATGTTTCGCACATTCGACGGTCACTTGAATTTTGTAGTGAATCAAACCTGTAGTTTGTCTCCTACTCGAAGTCAGCTCCAGTGTATTCAATCCCATTCCAACCCATGCAGGTCCAACCCGTATCCCCCCGGCCCCCACGGGGCCCCACCCCGAGGAGAACGAGGAGGAGGCGGACGGCGACGAAAACGTGGGCGACGACGTGGACGTGGACGACGTGGACGAGGGCAATGACGAGGACATGGCCCGTGACCCCCGAACGAGGAGGAGGACGCGGGGCAGGAGGAGGCGGACGACGAGGCTGTGGGCGACGACGTGGACGTGGACGAAGACGAGGACGAGGGCGATGCCGAGGACGTGGCCCGGGACCTCCGCGCTTGCTCGCGGCCCTTGCTGGGCTGCGCCCGATCTGGGCGCTCGACGGCAGGCCCCCAATCCTGCGAGCTCCGCCCTGCGGCCTTTGCCGCACGCGGGGCCCATGCAGAACTGTGTGCGCTCGGCGGCGAGCCCGGGAGGGCAGGGCCTGCGATGTCCTCGAGCCTCGATGGCCGATCTTCGACGTCCCCGACGTCCTCAGCCCTGGGCCTCGAGGGCCGTCGGCGGCGGCCCGCGGCGGGCCGTGGACGGCCTCGCCCCCCCCCCCCAGCGGAGACGGGGCGGGCCTGCTCAGCAGGCCTTTGAGGGGATTTCGGGGCCTTCTCCGGAGACGCAGAAACCCTGTCGGAAGGCCCGAAGGCTTCTGAGAAGCCCCGCCGCCTTTTGAGACGGCCTGCTGCTTCTCACCCCCCTCCCAGGTGCGCCGCCGAGGGATTCCGACCCCCTGGGGATTTGTACTCAGCGCTGGAGCTTATATACCCGTGGTGGAGTGCTGTCCTAAGCTGGCTCAGGGTCGCCGGCTCATGCTTGGGCCTCTTCGGCCCTCACTCGTCCGACTAGCTCTGTGCCCTTCCGTCCGGCCACAGGACCCCTGGAGCCGGGAGTTCCCACAAGGACCCCTTGAGTTCATTCATGGTGATCCTTCCTTGTGGGAGCTCCCAGGCACTCGGCCCCTGATAGCTCTGAATGCTGGGAGTTCCCACAATGACCTCCCAGGAGCTGCTCAGCCACGCGCAGAGGGGGGTGGGGGGAGGGCGGAGGGCTTCTTAAAAGCACCCCTGCTTCTTAGAAGGCGCGGGCCTTATACGTAGATACAGGGCCGCCGCCTTCTAAGAAGCAGCCTCCCAAGAAGCCCTCCCCCCTCCCTCCACCTTGTGCGCGCCGCCAAGCTGCCTCCAAAAATCATCAGTGATGTCTTCGGTCTGGGCAAGTAGCCGCCTCCCCGCAGCTGGCGCGCGCGCGCTGGGGCGGCGGCTTTCGGGCGGCGCCCCTCGCGGGCGGCCCTAGGAGCGATGCGCTCGTTGGGCGCGGCCATCGCCACGAGCTTCGGCGACGCCGAGGCATCTGTAGCCGCGGGGGACGCATGGCGAACGAACAACACGCACCTATACCCGTAGGGGGGACGGAGGGGGCTATGGGTGCGTGTTGTCGGAGCGCACGGTAACGATAGTCCATGCTGGGCGAATCTGTTTCGAACTGTTGTTCTGGAGGATCGGGGCGGGGTTCCGCGGGCCAAGAGGCTGCATCTGGGAGGGGACCCATCGTTCGATGGTGCAGCTCGGGAGTCTGCATAGTGTCAGCATGAGGGCTCTACACTGCGAAATCGAAGCCGAGCTGGGACCGACAACGACCCCGAAGATGCAGGTTTCGTGAGGCGGCAGTTGCCTGCAGGATCTTCTGTGGCACGACCATGTCAGGGGTCGTGCGCTTCTCGTGGGTTGTTCGCGCGTCAGGCGTTTCCTCGGGGTGGCCCTTGTGGTGTGCGTGACGAGTCCGTCCTCGGCTGTGCGTGTCGCCCCACGTTGCATGTTGCGTTCTGGGCAACTAGTATTGGGGCAAGTTGCGGTGAACTCGAGCATTTGCCCCTTCCGAGGGAGATCCCCTCCAGGGTGACGCCGAGCTTCGAGTCCCAATGATGGCAGCGCGTGGACCACCTTCAGTGATTCGGCTTATTCGGGGAAATATTTGCGATGCAACCTACGGGGTGCAATCTACCTTACAGAACCTGAAGTCGTCAACCAGACTGCTCGCGCGCAATCATCACAGCCTCCCACAGCTTGTTTTGCATGACCATCATGCGGCCGCGTCTGCGGTGACTACTTGGCATTCGATGGCGCATGCATTCTGCTGCGCTAGCACGCGCAAGCTAGCGCGCATGGCGGTCAGCTGGGTTGGCACAGCCCTTGCGGCCGCGCTGGCGCTTACCGATCGGAGTTTCCCTGCCCACCTCAAACGCCGCGGTGGCAGGCGGGACATCCAGTGTAGGTCGGTGATTCGGGCTGGCGTTGTATCATGACTTCAGCAAGTTCTCCTGGAGCAGAGAATGTGCGAGATCTGTGATCGAACATGTTTTTAACATTGTTTTGCGCTCGTAGCCTGCGTGCGCTTTGTACGGTTAAGACGTGTGTGCGCGTGTGGGCGTTGTGGTTTTCTTTTCAAGGGGCTTTTGGAACAGGATGGTTTGCGATCGACGCGTGCGCGCACATTATGATTGAGGGGGGAGGGGGGGGCAACCAGCCTAGCTGGAATTGTCTGCGTTCGTATCTGGTGCATGCGCGATTGGGCGGACTCGAGCGTTCTTTGCGGCGTTCCAGCGGGGCGGGGGGCTGAGCGCATATTCCTTTGAGATGAGTTTTTACAAGTTCATTGGTTGTCGGCCCCCTGCGCGCGCAACCGTCCCACTCCCACCCGCAAATTGTTCTGTAACATCCACGCGGCTGCGATTGCGAAAACTGATTGTTGGCCTATCTTTGCGGCCTTACTGGCGCGCGCAAGCTCGCACGCAGAGCGGCCAGCTGGCTTGTCACAGCCAATGCAGCCGCGATGGCAGCCCCCAAGCGCGCCTCAAAGGCCGCGCTTGCGCGCGGGCAGTTAAATTCGGGTCGGTGATTCAGGCGGGCGTGATATCATGATGGCGTTGTCAATGTCGGCAACGATGATGATATACGTCATGGTGGTGGCGGTGGTGACGGTGACGACGGCAAAGCCAATGACGGCGCCAATGTTGGCCACGACGGCAATGATATTGCCCATGCGTCGACATTGAACGTTGCTTACGTGCTAATGGCCGCAATGGCCGCGATCGACGACGATGCTGACGTGGTGCGGCGGCGCGGACCACGGCGACGGTAAGGAATGGCGCGCGCGCGGGAATCCAATATCCATGGCGTACCATTTGATGGAAACACGTAGTTTTGTTTAGTACGGTTGGGGGGGGCTCTATTTGCAATTCGCCAGGAAACAATGGCAACGCTCGAGCGCGCGTGGCAATTTGCGTGCGTTCTCCGCATTGTTGTTGATGCGCCTTCGTCCACTCGCCGCATGCTGCATCAGCGTGGATGCACCGCGTGGTGGGATGCTGAATGCGGGTTCTGGACCAATGTCGTAAGCATATGCTACGCTCCGATGGTCATCCAGGAAACGTTTGAGCAAGTAGGCGTCTGCAAGATGTGATGTGACATTATATCGCGTTTTAGAATGCGTTTACGCCGACATGTGCAACCCTGGTGTGTGTTGTCGGGATTTCGACATGTGCGCGCGAAGGTTTTGTGCAGTTTCTGTGAGGGGATCTTTGAAGATATTCTTTGCAATGAACGCGTGCGCTAGAGTAGTTTTTTTTCGATATGCATGCACGAATGGACGAAGACATGACCAGCCCGCATGGGGTGATATGAGTTCATAGGGAATGCACGATGAGGCAGATTCGTAAGTAATATCTGGGGGGTGGGGGGTTGTAGGTTATGTTCTCCTTTCGAAGGGGGACATAATCGGTGCAGCCTCTGCGGTGCGCCCTCTTGGGTTTTATTATGTTGTGTGTAACTTGTCTGGTACAATCCATGGGTTTCTCCCGGTTGGGTGCAACCCATGCCACCCAGGGCCACAGGGGAATAATTTTGATAAGTCAGTCCACCATAACACATGCCACCATAACGAAAGTGCAGTACACAGGCCCAGTGGGTAGGGCCACCAGAAGAACCCACAGGGATCCAAACGGCCAATCGAAAATACCACAGGGACAGTACGGGGGAAGCCATAGTAAGGCGTGACACACAGCGCCAGTGGGGGGAATGCCATAGGAAGCCATCCACAGTCAAGCGGCTGTCGGAGTCTGCGGAACAGGTGCAGTGGAGGAGGGGGGTGGGGGTGGGAGAGCTTCCGGAAGCCGTAAGAAGCCGACCAGCCAGAGCAGAGTACGACACAGAACGCCAGTGGGGACAAGTCCATATTGGGCTATACGAAGCCAAGAGGCCACCAGAAGCCATGGCACACAGGGGTACGTCATCAGAGACCAAGCCAGAACCCTCCAGTACATACCGTGATGGGGGAAACCGACGCAGGCGCTCATCCAGAGCGGAGTGTACACCTCTGCCTTGGTTTAGATATTCTCTGAGCCGATGCTCTGAGACGGGGGTGGGTTCTCGCTCGACTCGTCGCGGAGGCGAGGGTTCTCTCTCGAATTCAGCACGTATGTGAGTGCCTGGCAGAGACGGGGACTCAACTAAGTAGGGATACGCAGTGTGTAGCATCGTGGTACCATCAATCGGACATCGCTGGCCACTGCCCTAAGAGTTATTGCCCTTCAGACCATCAGCCACCATCATCCCCTGTTCCACCATCCATGGGGTCGCTGTCGTGCATCATGTTGTTACCGAGCTGCTTGAGGCTAGTCCCGCCACCGTGCCAGTCCAGCATTTCGGGTGGCGATTTTTCGAGGGGTCACGGGAGGCCATTACGTATGACACTTCGTGTCTCCTGGCTTCGGTGAGCCATGATGTTGATAGTGGTGATGTTGATGAGGATGATGGTGATGATGTTGTTGCTGATGATGATGATATTGAGCAGACGGAGGAGGAGGAGGCGGATGAGGATGATGATGAGGATGAGGATGAGGATGTTGCTGATTATGTGCTGATGCTGATGCTGATGCTGATGATGAAGACGATGACGACCAGGTTGATGCTGATGCTGATGTTGGTGGTGGTGATGCTGATGATGATGACGATGCTGATGACGATGATGATGATGATGCTACTGACGACGATGATACCAATGCTGATGATGAAGATGCTAATGGTGGTGGTGCTGGCTGTGGTGATACTGATTTTGGTGGTGGTGGTGATGATGATAATGGTGTAGATGTGCATGCTAATGTGTATGATGGTGCTGATGATGATGAGGATGCTGATGATGATGATGATTCGATGGCGAGTCCATTTTGAGGATGCTTAAATGGTGATGATGATGATGGTGATGCTGGTTATCTGTTGATGGTGATGCTGATGATGGTGGTGATGCTCATGCTGATGATGATGATGATTGTGATGCTGATGATGAACCTGAGGATGGTGATGATGGTGAGGCTGATGAGTTTGATGCCTAGGCGTTTTTGGATGACCAATCCGATCATGATGATGATGCTTATTTATGATTGTGATGATGCTGATGCTGATGACTACGAATATGAAGCTGCTGATGCTGATGAGTAGGTGATGATGATGCTCCCGATGATGCTGGGGATGATGATGGTGCTGATGCTACTGATGATGATTGTTGGGGTGGCGGTGGTACTTATGATGATGGTGATGATGATGCTGCTGATGCTGATGTTGCTGATGATAATGCTGAAGACGATGCTGACGCTGATGCTAATGATGATGCTACTGATGATTATGCTGCAGATGAGCTGATTATGATGCTGATGATGCTGTTGATGCTGCGGCTCACGATACTGATGATGGTGACGACGATGCTGATGCCGATGCTGCTGATGATGATGCTGACGATACTGATGATGCTGCTGATGATGCTGATGCCGATGGTCATGATGATGGTGATTTGGATGCTGATGCTGATGCTGCTGATGCTGATGCTGATGCTGATGCTTATGATGATGGTGACGATGGTGATGATGGTGATGATGGTGGTGATGGTGCCTCTTGGGGCTCCCCTGGGCGCATCTTGGGGCGGGCGACTCGGATGTTCGGTTCGTGTTCCCGATCTTTGGCCCCTCTGAGGCGCCCTCTTGGGCCGTCTTGGGCGCCTCTTGGGCCGTCTTGGGGCGCTCTTGAGCCGTTCTGGGGCTCGCTTGGGGGCCTCTTCGGCCGTCTTGGCGCTGTTTCGGGGGCTCGTGGGACGTCGTGTTGCCTTGGAAGCTCGACAAGTGGGGAACCCCCAAAACATTGAACATCTTAATGGGAATACCTGATTGTGGCCTATCCGTGCCCTCTTGGGGAGCTGTTCGGAGGCCTCTTGGGACGTCTCGGCGCTTTTCCTGCCGACTGGAGGCTGTCTTGGGCGTATTTGGGCCCTCTTGGGCATCGGAAAATGCAGCAGCGACAAGTTTCCAGTGAGCCCATGAGGCACGCGCCAATCCTGGGGAGAATTGGTTATTTGGAGTGTGCCCCTGAAGGGATCCCCAGGACTGAGGATTGCCAGGCCAAGGGCCTGAGGACACTCCAACTCGTGCGTTGAGGGTACGGTGGCTGATTCGAGGAGATCTGATGTTTCTCGTTGGGGCTGCCTTGTGGCTTTTTTGGGCTCCTGTGTGGCAGTTTTCGGGACCCTTTTGGGACCGTTTTGATGACCTCTTAGGCCGTCTTGGGATCTCTTGGGCCGTCTCGGAGCCCTCTTGGCCGTATGGTGGGTGCCTGTGGACCGTCGTGGGGCCGTCTTGTCGCCGCGTTGGGCAATCGAAAGGCCTTCTAATGCCGTTTTGGGTCCCAGGTCCCAGGGGAGGCCCTCTTGGGCTGTCCTTGGGGCCTCTTGGGGCCTCGTGGGGTCGTCTTGGGCCATCTTATCGTGGAAGCTTCTTGGGCCGTCTTTAGCTGACGGAAGCCCGAAAAGGCGAGAAAGCGAGACGAGGTCCTGTTGGAATCAATGATTTCGGTTTCTTCGGGTCCTGTTGGAGGTCCTTTTGGGGCCCTCTTGGAGGCATCTTGGGCCGTCTTGAGGCCATATTCGGCCGCCTTCGGGCCATCTTGGCCCGTCTTCGAGGCATCTCGGGCCGTCTTGGTTGCCTTGGTTGCCTGCCTGGGCCGTCTTGGAAGCTCGGGACGCGGACGCCTCGTTTTTTCTTCATGGGACCGTGGCCTCGGTTGCGCGGATCCTCTGTCTTCTACAGGGGGCCGTGGCCTCGGGGGCAGTGAGTATGCCTGGGTCTTTCCGCGGCTAGAGGAGGGGTTGTCATGTAGTGGATGCAAGCCATGCAGAAGGGAACCTGGCATTCTAACGCGCACACATCGTGCAGGCACGGTGGCGGATGGAGCGGTTACACCTTCGCACATCCCTCCCATTCCGACAGCGACCGAGGCGGCCGCCTCGCGATTTGCCGTAGACATTCCGCGAGATTTGATGGCATTCTGCGATGGCACGGCAACAAGCGATTTGCCGCCCACAGATGCGAAAATTCGACTTCATCGACTGTATTGTAGTAGCCTCTGGCCAGTGCCGCCGATCCGGGGCGCTCTGGATGCCGGTGGACATGGACGACGACGACGACGACGACGACGACGACGACGACAACGGACGACCAACGACCCCCCACCCTGCAGAGCGGAGTGAGGGCGAAAGCGCTGAACCCCCCCCTCCCCCTGCAGAGCGGAGGCGGGGGCGAACGAAAGCGCCGACCCCACCCCCCTGTAGAGCGGAGGCGGTGGCGAAATCGCCGCTGACCCCCCCCTTGGCAGAGCGGAGGGGAGGGGCGCAAGCGCTGACCCCCTGCAGATCGGAGGCAGGAGCAAAAGCGCTGACAATCCCCCCCCCTCCCTAGCAGAGCGGAGGGGACGGCGAAAGCGCTGACCCCCCCCCCCCGCAGAGCGGAGGCGGGGGGGAAAGCGCTGACCCCCCCCACCCCCTGCAGAGCGGAGGCGGGAAGGGCGAAAGCGCTGACCCCCCCCTGCAGAGCGGAGGCGGGGGGAGCGAAAACACTGACCCCCCACACATGCAGAGCGGAACTCAAGCAGAGCTCAAGCTCACGCTCTTTTTGAAACTCACACGCTGGATCGGCGGATTTCACTGCACGTGCCCTTGGGGAAAGTGCACGTGTTGATCGCTTGTGTGTTCGGGGCCCCGGGAGTGAGCATGAACGAATTCTGTGTGCGGCCGGAGGTCATCGCACCCTTGGTCCAGTGCGCATGTGCTGGTCGTCGGCAGCTGGCATAGCGGCCACCCCGTGGGCTGCAAGGACCCCCCAAAGCGTGCAGGCTGCCACGAGAGTGAACACATGTCATGTCCAAGATTCGGCAAGCATTCGCCATGTTGTAGGATACTGGTGTAGGCACATGTTGGTCGACTGCCCTGGAGGGAAGCCCTCCCGACCTCTGCATGGGATCTGAGGTGAGTCGATCTGTGGCTGTGTTGCCGATGTTGCTTTTGCGCTTTGTCCTCCAACAGCGGAGACAAGAGGGAACGAGAAGCCAGTCTGGGCGTCGGCGCCGCAGTTCTGAGGCCCGGCCCCTGCTCTTCGCTGCCCGGGAGACGCAGGATCCGAGCGCGCCAGAACTCGGATCCTGCCAACCCCTTTTGACGGGCCCGTCCCGGATGTTGACAGCCACGTCAGGCCAACCCCGTTCCCCGTATTCCGAGCTTCGTAATTAGCGTCGGGGGGGGCGTCACCCCCGCCGCCGACAGCCCCACATCGACCCCCGTCGCGGGCAGCCACCGCGCGCCGAAGGCGCTCCGACCCCCGTCGCGGCGCGACGACGAGGCGAGGTTGACCCTCGTCGGGGGGGTACCCCCCACGCTGATTTAGAAACCCAGAGTACAGTCAACCCGCGCAGTAGGGATGATCGATTTTCCAAGGTTGCCCTGGCATCCTTCCCCTTCGGCCCATCCTCGGCCACTTTCGCTGGCCGCGCCCCGCTCGAAATGCGTACCCCTGCCGCATCCAAGGCCCTTGCACCCTCACCGCGCATCCTGGTCATGCGCGTTGGCTGTGTGTCTCCCCGACTCTGGACCGCTGGAGTCGACGGGGTGCGCGGGAATCTTCTGGCCAAAAAGGGGAGCTTTTCAGCGCTCGTCGCGACATGCCCTCGGGCGACCTCCCACGACCTTGGAGGCCCCGGCGGGCGATCGGCCCTCGGAGGCACTCGGAGGCTGACCGGGAGGGGAGATCCCGCCCAGCTCTGGCCGCACAGATGCGCAGGGGTGGGCTGTGTTATCTTTGTGAGCCCCCATTTTCATGGCGCCCACATCGCAGAGCGGGTTTCGTTCGGAAAACGACAGGATGGGCCCAGAGTGTCCTGGAGAATTTCTTTCCGGACTTCGAAGTGAATTTCGTGCGGATTTTTGGGCCACGAATGAAGACTACAAACAATCCACGTGAAGTTCTCTTTGTTTTTCGCTCGCCGCTTCGGGCAAAACTCAGCGCGAAAATCCAAGCAGAAAACTCGCTGCAGCACGTCTGCAAGGCCAGTGCAATGACCATTTGCCCCCTCATTGGTTTCCTCATGTCTCGCTCTCCGTGTCTTCCATTGCCCATTCTGGGCTGCCCTTTGCCGAAGGAAAATTACTCACTTTCACCATGGACACTTCGGTTAGCATTGGCTGTGGCATGTCCATCTTCTCGTGACAGTGTGGCACGCCCCGCAGGAGCCGTGTCAATAAGTACGGATGGGTTGCGACTCTCTTAATATCTCAATGCTGCTGGATGCCTCTTCACAGTTATCATCACGCATGCTGAAGTGTCCAGCGCTTGCGCGGACGCAACGGCATTCAGGGCTGGAGAACTCTCGCAAGGGCTTCCGACCGTTTTGCTTCCCAAAACCGCTCGCTCACCGGTAGTTCTTGGTTTTCGCCCGGTGCCTGGCGCCTCGTGGGCGCCCCCTGTTTGCACCGCATAGCTTGCACTGCATGGCTTACACGACGTGTGGTGTACTGCGCAGCGTGCACCACACAGCTTGCGCCACACAGCTCACACCGCAGAGCTTGCACCACGTGGCCTGCACCGCACAGCTACCGCATCGCGTGCGCACACGTCCAGAGCCCACGCTGGCAAGCATCCTTTCTGGCACGTCCGCCAATTCTGCGACCCGCAGGCACACCGCCCGGTTCCGCGCGAGCGCGCGCACCCCCCTGCCAGGGCGGCGGCGACCACCCGGGCGAACCGGATGCCGGAAGCTGCCCCAAGTTCAGGCCTGCCGTGCGCGCCCGATCGCCTGTGTGTTCGAGCCGCGCGGCTCTTCGGCGCTGGGTCCTCACGTGTCCACGCCCACCGCTCGCCGAGGTCTCCGAGGATCGATCCCCCTGGCGGTGGTCATGGTGGTGGAAATCACCGAGCGCGTTCCACTGCTCGCAAAGTGCCCACTCGCAAACGTCGGAAAAAAAACAACACCTGTTTGCTTAAATGTAATTTCTCGTAGATCCCCCCCCAGCGGATTCAGGCCATTTGCGAGTAGTCACTTTGCGAGTAGTGGAACGCGCATGTCTAAAAAGAATCAGAGTGAGGAGGCCGAACGGTCATCCACTGTCCCTGGTCGCGTGGCTGAAGTGGGGTTCCGCGGTGCGGATTGTTGCTGCGTTGTTGTTGTCGTCCTCGCCTGCGACCCACTCGCGACCCACCCGCGACGCATCCCGCGCCCTCCCGGCGACCCGCCCCGCGACCTACCCCCGCGTCAGCCACCTCACTCTTGTCTGCAGCTTCGGGACGCCTCGGCAACGTTTTCCCATGGGGTCCCCCGTCCACGACGAGGCGAGGTGCGCTGAAGGCCTGGCATTAAATCGGGCCTGTCCCTCTACAGGAGGAAGATTCAAAAATAGTCATAAAGATGTATGGGGATGCGTTATATATATATATATATATATATAGTTTTTTTACATTTGAAGATTTGGTCAGTATTCTTGAATTTGTCGTTCAAAATCCCCCTGTAGGAGGACATGCCCGACCTAAGCCTTGCAGAGGGGGGAGCAGCGAAGGGGGGGCCCCCAGCTCCGTTCCCGAGGGGGCCGTGGAGGCGCTGCAGGCAGCCGATGCGCCAGCCGCAGGCGGGGCTCGTTTCGATTCCTCCGGTTCGATTCGGTTCGATGGCTTCCGATTCCGATTCGGTTCAATTTTGGGATGCCGACTTGGGTTCCGACTTCTTCATAGAAGCATACCAGCCTGCCGATTTATCGCCAACCCGACTTTTTCCGGCATCGGCTGCCGATTGCCGCCGACCCGATTAATTTCGATCGCTGATTCGACTCATCGATTCGATTCCAGGCTCTCTTGCCCCAGTCCTCCGTCTTCAACCCAGGACTCCAACCTCGGAAGGCAAAGCCGACATGCTTCTAGAAGACCAATATTTGGGGCCTGTGCCAAATACCGATCTCACTTTCTAACCACAAGCGTCTATGGACACATTGCGTGGCGTTGCGTATACAGATGCGTTCGAGGCGGATCCGTGTATAGACAGCGCGGCCGTTGCGTTCGAAGCATTTACAAGGTCGGAGAAATGGTAGATCCGTCTACGGTATGTTCCTGTTCTAGAGCAGGTCCCACACGGTACTCCAAGTCGTTCCTCGTGATTTTTCGTATCGTGCCCCCCCCGCCCCCCGAGGTCTGGACCCTGTCCCCTGCAGTTTTTCCATCCCGAGTTGTGTTCAAGCTGTTCCGGGGCCCGGATGGACGCCGAAGTTGCCCCGAACTCCTCCGTCGTGATTTTTGGTTCGCATCGCGAGGAGATCTGGGAATGTCGCATGGTGGAGTCGCAGGCGATTTTCCCCTCGATCCCTGAGTTCCCAATCCAACAGGGCTACGTCGGACGCGCCCCTCTCGAGAATTGGTTATCCCCGAGTTTAGCCTCAAATCTCTTGTCCAGTTGAAGCTCCTGCAAAGGCGGGAGGTGGGGTCGCCATACCCCCTGCTAGTGGGTATGCGCCGTCGGCGCCCACATCTCTCTTGTGGTCGGCGGGGGCGGCCGCAGGCCATGCGTACCCTGGGTCACGGCTCCGCACTTGGGCGCGCCGACCGCGCGACGGCGAATGGGGGATGCGGCTTCGAGAAGAGACAACGTGACGAGAAGAGAGCGGGAGACGCCTAGACTTCCTCTCGTCAGGGGCAACGGTACACGCCGGTCGTTGAAAGTTCTTATTTTTTTGGATTATCAGATCCTCCTCTGTTTTAACCGCCTTCCGACTTCAAACGTCGAGTGTTTTTTCCTTTCTCTTTCTTGTTTCCGGAAACCCAATCTACTCTCATCGCATTCCTACTATTTGCTTCCACCAGCTTCTTCGGACCGACGGGTAGGGGGGGTGGCGAGTGAGGGGGGAAGTGAGGCGGGCCTTCTCAGAAGGCTCGCAGGTCCCCCTGCCTTCTGAGACATTTTCTCAGGTCCCCCCTTCAATCGCCGCCGCGTCAGGGGCAACAATTGGGGGGACAGGCTCAGGGGGGATCGCATCGACCCCCAATCGCCCATTGATCGCCGATGGGGGCCCGATAGCCCACTCCCACTCAGGAGCGTGCGGATTCGCCATCGGTTGCCCTTCGCCGATCTATCGGCGATGAATCGCCGATTCCAGTCCCTGGGCCAATCCCTTCTTATCGTTGCCACTCACCTCGCTACGAAACTATCACGGCGGGAGGCTCTGACACTTTTAGGCCTCCGGGGGGCCCTCGCCGGGCCCCGGGATGAAGAACCAGCCCGACGCCGCGAGCCGCTTGGGGGGACGAGGGCGCCGGCCGCGCGGCATCCCGACTGCTGCTTCTGAGCCCCTCGGCCAGAGCGCACTTTCATGGATCTAGCCATGATGACACCATCGCTGCTCGGCCGCAACTCTCCACAGCAGGCGTCCAGATGCTTGCCACAAGGCATAACGGCGCCCCACGATGCTTCAGGCAGCTCTCGTTTCGCCAGCGACGCGAGGCGATGAGAAGCCAGCCCCTGGGAGAGGGGTGGAGAGGTCACGGGGGGTCCGCGTCTTGAATAAGCTGCACCGCCCGATCCCTGGGTTCGCCCGCGCGCCCGTTGGGTCGCACCTGGCCGCACACCCCGCCCTCCTGCCCTTTCTCTTCGCCTGGCGTGCGCCGTTCTGCCCTCGCCGCCACCGTCGCCGTCGCCGCCGCCCCCGGCCTCCGCGCTTCAGTGGGCGGCTCTGTCGGCGCTGTCGCCGCCGCCTCTGCTTCCCCTCGCTGCGCGCTTTCGTCGGGCGGGGAGTGGCCCAGGGGTGGGCGGGCACTGACCCCCCGAGACTCGCCCAATCATCTCTCGATGAGCGGGGCCCGGGTGGTCCCCTCCCCCCTGCCCATCTAGGCCTCCTGGATGGGGTCGGAGTAGATGGGGTCGGAGGATCGCGCCGCATCGCCGATGCATCGACGATGCGGCCCGATGTGGAGCCCGTTTCTCCCCGCACCGACGTCGCCGATGCATCGCTGATGCATCGCCGATGCATCGGCAACGCATTGCGATGCGGCACGATCCTTCGACCCCATCTACTCGGACCCCATCTAGGAAGCCTCTAGCCCAGGGAGCGTGCGGCTTCGTCCTCAAGGGGCCTGTCGCCTCTCTATTCTGCGAGGCGTCGCCCCATTCCAGGCCACTGTGTGCTCCTCCTCCTCCTCCTCCTCCTCCTCCTCCTCCTCCTCCTCCTCCTCCTCCTTCCTCCGTCGCTTCCTTCGCTGCCGCTGCCGCCGCCGCCTCCGCCTCCCCCTCCGCCTCCGCTTCCGCCTCTCCCCCTCCCCCTCCCCCCCCTCCCCTCCCCTCCCTATCCCCCTCCCCCCCTCCTCCTCCTCCTCCTCCTCTCCTCCTCCTCCTCCTCCTCCTCCTCCTCCCCCTCCTCCTCCTCCTCCTCCTCCCTGGAGCCGGGCGCCCCCTGTCGACCGCCCTCCCCGCGGCACCCGGGCCTCCCCGCGCGGCGTCGAGGCCAGCGCTGCTGCCGCAGGCCACCTGCCCGGGCGTGGGCCCGGAGGCCCGCCCCGGGGGGGCGCCGAGTGGAGGGGCCGACGCCAGCCCGTCGGGTTGACCCACAAGGGGGTCCAGCGACAAGGGGGTGGTGCAACAGATTGGTGGGGCTGCAATACATGTGGGGCGTGCAGTGCATTCCGGGGCGCAAATGTGTTGCTGGGCTTTCGCGTGCAAGGCATCACTTGCAATACGGTGCGATTCAATTCTCTGGCTCAATACATTTGCAATACGATTGCCCCAAACCTATTGCACCACCCCCTCTGAGCCGGACCCCCTTCTGGGCCACCCAGAGATCTGCCTCATGCGTTCAGGTCGTGCAGGAAGGTCGTCTTTGCCGCAGTCAATGAGAGCCTTCCTCGGCAGGTGAGCGACGCAGCGAAATCAGGGTCGATTGCGCCGACATTGGGGCAGCCGCTCGCGTAATGTCGCGCGTACTCGCCCTCGCCTCCAATGTGGCGTGCCGCGTTGGTGGCCCGCGTGAGCCGCAGCGTATGGTCGCTGTGCCGTCTCTGCCGTCCTGATTGTCGTTCTTGCGGCTGTAATTCGAAGGAGATCAACATACTTTGTCCGAGCTCCTTTCAGGTATCTTGGATCAGCAATGGACCCCCGGCGGCGCCTCTGGCTCCGCCCCTGCATGGCCCGCTCCACGTGCCAGGAACGGGGGTCGAGCGCCGATCCAAGAATTCTGGGCTTGTTTGTGTTTCTCTTGGAAGTGCGGGTGAGTGCCAGCGCTGCTTCGAAACCTGTCGACTGCCCCGCGAAAGCAGCGTCCACACACATATTCTCTCGTGCAGAGGTCACACAGTGGAGGGTACATCTTTACGCAGGCATGGCACACATCGATCGTATGATCGTTTCTCGAAGATGGAGACATTATTGGCGCATCCCGGCTACTATTGCTGGATCGCGTTCGTGTTTGATGCGATGCGGGATCTCTGCTACCGTCGTCGAGTGGTTCATGCTCCGTGCGCCCAAATCGAGAGTTGTTTGGCATTGGGGGAGCTGACTGCAGCTGCCCATGGCAAGTCCCGCCACCGTGCCAGCCCTTCACCTTGGGTGGCGACTTTTCGGGGAGCACGCAAGAGGCCATAACGTACGACACGTCGTGCCCTGAGGATTGGGAGAGCCGTGACACGCGACACATTTTTGGGTGTCATGTCGGGGGTTCTCTTCTCGTCTTCATCGTCGTAATCCATGTGTTCTGTTATATATTGGTCTCTTGTAGGGCAGTGTTGGAGGTATTTGGGCTATTTGGGGCAATCTTGGAGCCATCTTGGGATGTCTGGGGGCTTTCTTGGGCTTTCTTGGGCCGTCTGGAAGTCCTTGTGGCCGTCGTAGAGCCGTCGTGAGGCCGTATTTGGTGTCGACCTGTTCTCCAAGGCCGAATCGGGTCCTGCAGGAGGCCCTCTTGGGCCAGTTCGGGGCTGCCTTGAGGCCGCATTGGAAAAATGTTGTATGATGTGTGGCCCTCTTGGGCCGTCTTGGGGCCATCTTGGAGGCCGCCAGGGCAGTTTGAAGCGGCAGGAAACTTCAAAAGTCGAAGACGCCCAAATCTTAGGAAAGTTGTAGGAGCATGCATGGTTTAGGCCTCTTCGGGCTCTACTGACATTTGAACGGAAGTCAAAGTCGAGCATCGTGCCTACGTCCGCCGCCGTTTGTATCTCAAGCGGTTCGCCACTAGAAAATGATAACCTCGTTCTCGAGGTACTATCGCACCTGAGCAACGAAACAAGGAGTCTTCCAGATCCGTCGATGGTGCGCTCCGATCTCCGATCACATCCCTGATCTCTCGACTATTTGCGATGGGCCAGCTATGGAATATTATCGTACGCCTTAGGCGCAATCTATGGTGCGGCTTAGCATACCCACTTCGACTTGGTGCGGTATCGGGGCTGCCCGCGTTTCCGTGTGGCTCGCGATGACTGGAATACCATTATTCCACAGCGCAGAATGGTGGACTACTTCTATGTTGTGGTACATCCGACCGTGCCAGTATCCGTTCGGGATGAGAGCGAGGAGACTGGCCTACACGTAACATCACAACGACCGGCGGCCACGTCGGCCTAGACGTGTACGCCACGGCTCTCAGCCACGATGCTCCTACCTACCATCTACCACTTGGAAATTCTCTTTCCTACTCCATCTCCTCGATTGGCATCCTACCACAGCGCTGCTGCGCGCAATACGACCCCAAACACTTCAAACAATTGACGGCCACATCAGCCCACAAACACGGCAAGCTGACGGCCACGTCAGCCCACAAACACGAAGCCCCCGACAGCACCAACACCAACATGACCATGCACCTCGTCAACCATGTTATCTATGGTATTAGATGGATGCGTCTTGTTCTAGTGGTAGAGCACATGCATCGAGGAATGAAGGGCACGCGTACCAGGGGCCCCCCGCATGGCTCAACGTAGCCAGTGGAGCTATGAGTCCACTGCAACAAGCTGCTGTTTTTCAGCGGGGCCTTGGAGGCCTAACCAAGCCCCTTGTTATTAGAGTAGCAAGTTCGTTTTTCAACTGTTGCTTAATCTTCAAAGGCCAACTCGCCGAATTATTTACATACATTATGGCCCTCCTCAGCACCAGAATTGCAAATCCGACAACGAGCGACATATCGCATGAGGAACAGCCTTCGTCGACCTCAAGGTCGACCGGGGTGAACGCATCGATTTGGTATCAGCCCGACCCGCAATGGCCAAACTGGAAGCAGATCCCACTGGATTCGGCATCCCGAAGATTCAGATTTTCACGCTCTTATTGCGTGGAGCTTTGGGAGTAGGCACTTCCCGAGCCTCATAGATGAACCCCGGGACGGTTGCAAAACATCCCCGGGACAACCACATAACAAGCACATAACAACCACGAGACAAACTCAGGATTGCTCAGGGACAGCCCAGGATCGGTCCGGGACAACGGCTTGGGCTACCGACCGCCTTGGTGGGGGGCGGAGCAATCTTATGGTAGCTTGATGTATCAAGGAATGGATCTGTTACGTACTCATGCAGCCACTGCTCGCCCGCACGCGCGTCACGCTCGACACGAACCGAAGCCGATGTCCGTCTCACCCCGAAACTTTCGATTGTCGTGTTATCGTCGCGTTCTGGACTCGTCGACAGAATGGGATGACTGCTGCTCTTGTGGATGGGCGAGCTCATTTAACATCATGGGACGTCTTCTTCCCCTCCCCATGGACTCCTACCATTTACTTCGCCTCCTCCTCATCTCTCCTCCTCGTCCGCCCTTCCTCCCCTCCCCGTTTCCAAGCTCTCCCCCAGGATCAGATCATCCCCATCCCTTGCGCACCGCCGATCGAACGCATCAGGATACCGATAGCCTGGTGCTGTGCGTTTCGACGGGGTGAAGTGCAGCGATCAGCAAGCGTACCGACGGGGAGTCGCGCAGCAGCGGGGCTCGCAGCGCGCGGGGCCGGTCTCCGTGTGCCCCCGCGCGCGAGGTGGAGATCCGCCGCCGGGAAGGGTCCAACGTGTGCCCGCCGCAGCCTCCGGCATGCTGCGAGGCCGCCTCGTCTGAGCGGGGTGGCGGGTGGGGCGTTTGTCGCAGACCTAGAGAGGTTGACACCAGCACCAAAGTCGGCGTCGTGCCTCCACCGACGGACGAAGATCCCGATCTCGGTGACGGTGGCAATATTCTGGCTTCCAAGGTGACCGAACTCTTACCACCTGCACCGAACTCGAGGATCATCTTCCCCCTGTTGAGGCATTCCCCTGTCTTGGTGTTGGTGCCCATTTCCAGGCCTCCAAGTTTGTGGTTTTGCCTTCGCAGCGCGGAGGATGACAGGTAGAAGAAGGCGTAGTTCAGGTCGTGGGATGTGTGGAGAGGTGTGAAGGCACATCCATCGAACAAGAGACACAATGGACAATGATGATTTCTGGAGGTGCGAACGGATTCCTTGGGCCGGCACTGGAACCCACTGGCTGTGCCTTTGGTGCTACCCCTGGCGTGCTCCACGCGCCAGGGAATGGGGGCTCCAGCGTCAAGCCAAGACAACGGGGCTGGCCTTCGACTAATTATGTTTATGTTGTGTTTGCTTCTTAATCATCAAGGGTAGATGGTAATCCAGGTTAGAGGATGAGAGGATAGTTGTGAACACACAGCCAGTCCACCCTCAGAGCAATCCCACACAGCCCCCGCGGCGACCCCAAGCCAGCCCTCTTCGAAAACAACACATTCCAGGCCTACGGATATTTCCCAAGCCACCGCCGAAAGATCCCCAAACAATCCAGAAAGGCTGAACTCATCGAGGGCATGGGTTCCTCGTTCGCCGCTCGCACTACTTCTCGTGCCGAGGGGCAGTCCAGCTCGGGCGCAACGCATCCCGTGCATCCGAAGACCTGCCGAGCCATCCCCGAACGGTCTCCAACCAGTCCATACCAATGATCTTCGTCGAAGTTGATGGGTTTCTCCCAGGGCTCGTACCCTTTCTTTTTCAAGGGAGCATGAGGTGTCACCATCAGGCCCCTGGCCCCTGGCCCCCAGTTTTCAACAACAACGGTTCCCGTCCGATACTTCTTCACAGTGTATTCCCAAGTCGCGCTCTCGCGTGGGATGTCCTTCTACAGGGAGCGCGCTCTCGCGTGGAACTTCTTCGCAATGTATTCAAACGCCGCGCTCTTGACACTCAGGAAACACGCTCTCGCTGTGGAATTCCTCCATATGTATTCGGGAATCTCGCTATCGCTCGAGACTTCCTCGCGATCCATGTAGGACGTACGTTTCAGCAACCCGCCTATTCCCTGTCCCTCCCTTCCATCCGTGTCTCTCCCCCTGCCTTGGGGGCTGCGCGAAATACACCTTCCAGGTAAGAAAGATACACCCATAAGGGGGCGCGATCGACGACGAGGAGGGCGGGTATCGATGCTTTGGGATATACGTGTTGACTGGCCTTCGAACAGGTAGCAGCGAACAGTTTTTACCTGATTGTTGTTGTTAAGTTTTTATTCCTAGCGAAAAACTGTTGTTGTTCCCACCTTCTGTAACCACATAATTTCTCAAGTAATCTGGTTCTGCCAGGGCTCGCACCCTTTTTGTCCACATCCTCAGTGGATTTATTGTGTTCTCTGCACACCTCCGCGCAGGAATCTCGCACCTCACCACCCCTTCCTCCTGTCATCACCATCCAATCATGGCCACCGGTCATCCGGATCACCCGCCCTCTCTCTCTCTCTCGCTCATTTACTCATCACCCACTCATACATTATCATGTCATGCTCCCATCATGGTCATCGGCAATCATCATCAGCACTCATTCACCATCCTCAGTTATGGTCATCGGCAACCATTCACAGTCATTCTCACCCGTGCAGTCACATTTCACTCATCATCATGCCATCGTCCGTTATCGTGTTATCGTCAGGAATCGCGCCATCGCCCCACACCCTCCGTCTCTCATCACCATAACCATCACTATCACCTTCGTCATCATCATGCACATTCGCTCGCACAGTTTAACTGTCGTTACTTTTGGGCTTCTCAGGCCTGAATATTGAAGAAGTTCTTGGCGGGGGACCCCCTTATGGGGCTCGCACTTGATACTCTAATCAGAGCGGGCCATCCAAATCCTGTAACCGTCGTCGCTTTTGGGTTCCTCTGGCCTCAATCTTGGGGAAGTCTCAGGCGGGAGCCCCGCCCCTATGGGTCCCGCAGTTCACGTTTTAATCCGAGCGGGCCATCTTAATCCTGTAATTGTCGTCACTTTTGGGCTCCACAAGCTTGAATTTTGAAGAGTCTCAGGCGGGATCCCCCTCCTTTTGGGGCCTGCACTCCATGTTCCAATCCGGGCGGGCCATCCAGATCCTGTAACTGTCGTCGCTTGTGGGTTTCCTCAGGCCTGAACGTAAAGGAGATCTCAGACGGCAGCATCGTCAGTGAGTGTATCTCGAGGAAGTCTCAAGCGGGATCCCCCTCCCTACGGGGTGTTCAAATCCGCGCGGGCCATCCAAATCCTGCAATTATCCTTGAGGAAGTTCTAGGCGGCAGTCCCCTCACCTTGGAGCCCGCACTTCTTGTTCGAAATCGCGCGGGCCATCCACATCCTGTAACCGTCGTCACTTTTGGGCTCCTCAGGCCCGAATTTTGAGGTAGTCTCTGGTGGGAGCCCCCTCCCTATGGGGCAAGTACTTCATCTTCGAATCCGAGTGGGTCATTCAAATCTTGTCTCTGTCGTCACTTTTGGGCTCCTCAGGCCTGAACATAGGGAAGTCTCAGGCGGGAGCCCCCTCCCTGTGGGGCCCGCGCTTCATGTTCGAATCCGAACCAGTTATGCAAACTTTGTAACCGTCAAACTTCTGGGCTCCTCCTCAGGCGTGACCATAGAGGAATCCAGGAAGTCTCAGACGGGAGCCTCGTCTGTGAATGAATATTGAGGAAGTTTCAGGCGGGACCCCCCTCCCTATGGGCCCGCATTTTATGTTTTAGTCCGAGCGGGTCATCCAAAGACTCTTGAGGAAGTCTCAGGCGGGAACCCCCTCCATATGGGGCCCGCGCTTCATGTATTAATCCGAGCGGGTCATCCGAATCATCAGATCTCGGCTCTTCCGGCCCGAATCTCGAGGAAGTCTCAGGCGGGAGCCCCCTCCCAATGAGGCAAATGTTTCATGTTTTAATCTTAGTGGGCCATCCAAATCCTGTAACTGTCATCACCTTGGGGCTCCACATGCTTGAATCTTGAAGACATCTCAGGCGGGAGCTGTGAGTAAATCGTGAGGAAGTTCTAGGCGGCACCCCCCTCATGGGGGCCGCGCTTCATGTTGGAATCCGCGCGGGCCATCCACATCCTGTAATTGTCGTCGATGTTGGGCTTTCAGGCCTCACTCTTGAGGAACCAGGGCGAGAAGGACGATGATGATGAGGAGACGGAGGTCGCCGAAGCGGGAGGATGGCCTGCGCCAGTCGGAGAGGAAATGGGCGGAGGGCAAGCTACATTGATTCTGATGTGGGGTCCGAGCGTCGGAGTAATTACAAGGGGGAACGACGTGTCACCAAACTGTGCCCCTGGCCCCGGGTCTACAACAACAACAGCTCCCGCCTGATACTTCTTCACAGTTGATTCGCAAGTGGCGCTCTCGCGCAGGACTTTCTCACAATTTATACAGGGATCGCGCTCTCGCCTGGAACTTTCTCGAAGTTTTCAGGCGCGCTTTCGACACTCAGGAATAACGCTCTCGCTGCGGACGTCTCCTAAGTTTATTTGGGCATCTCACTATCGCTCGAGACGTCCTCGTCATTCCTGCAGGGCGCACGTTTCAGCAACCCGCCTGCCCCTTGTCCCTTCCTTCCATCCGTCATCCCCTCCCTTGCCTTAGGGGCTGCACGAAACATACGTTGCAGGTAATAGAGATATAACCCTAAAAGGGTCCGAACGACGACGGAACGGGCGTGTATCGAGGGTTCGGGATATGCGTCTTGAGTTGCCACAGATAAGAGCAAGCAGTCTTAAACTGATTGTTGTTGTTGCTGCTGTTATTATTACTGTTGCTGCTGCTGTTGCTGTCGTTGGTGTTTTTGTTGTTGTTGTCGTTTGGGGATCGCTGCGTGTCCTCCTGGAGCGCCTGAGCGTGAGCTGAATTTCAAAGGAACTGTAGCCAGCCCCGAGGCCAGGTCGCCAAAGCGGATGAAGGGTTTCCAACAATGAAAGTGTTTCGCAATTCATGTTTATATTGTTCGCTGACACCTGCTCCTGTGCCACTTGAAATGTTTATACTAACCTCTCGATGCCCGCCATCTCCGTCTTCGATCGTCATCCATGAGTGTATATCATCTTGGCCTGCCGCGCGCAAGTGCTCAAAAACAAGGGAAGAGAGGACGGATGGAAGGGGGAAAGGGAAGAGCGCTGAGAAAAACCAAAGCGATTGCCCGATTCCTGAGCGTCGAGGGCGCGGGTCTGGAATACATGGTGAGGACGTCCCACGCGATGGCGCATGTCCGTCATAACTTGGGAATGGTTCGCGAGAGCGCGATGTCTCAATACATTGTGAGGCAGCAGCTCGGTGGCCAGGGGCCATGTTTGTTTGCCCCACAGTTCCTCTTGCGAAAATAACCAAGGGGCGAGCGCCGGGAGGAGGGTTTTCGTTGAAAGCACAACGGGCAACAGGCAGGGGGACCAACAAACATGTTTCATTAGGAGTGGGATGTAAACGACAACGACAGCAGCAACACCACCACCACGAAAACCAACAACACCCGCATTAACATGAACAACAACAACAACAACCACAACAACAATCATTTTAAGACTGGTCGCTCTTGTCTGCCCGAGTGTCGTTCAACGTGCATTTCTCAAACCCTCGATACCCGCCCTCTTCGTCTTCGATCGTACCTTTTTCGGGGCTTATATATTTCTTCCCTGCAGGCCGGGCCCCGGCAAGAGGCGGGGCGGCCGCGGACCGTCGGCCTGGCCAGCGGCAGCGCGGATCGGTGGCAACCCGACCCCAAGAGGGACGGACAGGGGACCGACCGCGACGACGACGACGACGACGACGGCGGCAGCGACGACGACGACGACGACGACGACGACGACGACGACCAAAAACGACAGCGAAAACGACAGCGGGAGCGACAGCGGGGCCACGCAGGGCAGGAAGGAGGCCACGAAGGGCGACAGCGGGCCACGAATGGCATGCGCATGGGGCCGCGAAGGGCAAGAACGAGCGGGGACCACGAAAGCGGGGGCCACGAAGAGGCGGATAATGCGGTGCCACAGAGGGCAGCGACGGGGCCACTGAGGGTGCCAACGGGGCCGCGTGGGACAACAAGGGGGCCGCGAAGGGCGACGGCGGGGTTGCGAAGGGCACGCGTGTGGGGCCACGACGGGTGCGAGCGAGCGGGGGCCACGAAGGGCTTGCGTACGTTGGGCCGCCGAGGGCAAGCACGGGGCCACTGAGGGCAGCGAGGGCGCCGCGAAGGGCAGCGAAGGGGCCGCGAAGGGCGACGGCGGGGCCATTGAGCGCGTGCGTATGGGGCCGCGAATGGGGCCACTAAAGGCAGCGGGGGGGCCAGGAAGGGCTGCAACGGGGCCACTAAAGGCAGCGAGGGGGCCAGGAAGGGCTTCAGCGGGGCCACGCAGGGCAGCGACGGGGCCGCGACGGGCTGCACGGGACCGCGAAGGGCAGCGAGGGGGGCACGACGGGCTGCAACGGGGCCACGAAGGGCAGCGAGGGGGCCAGGAAGGGCTGCAACACGATGGGTAGCGAGGGGGCCACGACGGGCTGCAACGGGGCCACGAAGGGCACCGAGGGGGCCACGAATTGGCTGCAACGGGGCCGCGAAGGGCGGCGTCGGTGCCACGAAAGGCTGCAACGGGACCGCGAAAGGCAGCAACAGGGCCACAAAGGGCTGCAACGGGGCCACGAAAGGGCAGCGAACGGGCCACGAAGGGCTGCAATGGGGCGACGAAGGGCAGCGACGGGCCCACGAAGGGCAGCAACGGGGCCACGAAGGGCAGCGAGGGGGCCACGACGGGCTGCAACGTCAACGGGGCCACGAAGGGCAGCGAGGGGGCCAGGAAGAGCTGCAACGGGGCCGCGAAGGGCAGCGAGGGGGTCACGGAGGGCTGCAACGGGCCCACGCAGGACCGCGATATCCCGATTTCTAAGTCAGCTGTGAAGGAGCCTGCCGCGTGAATGCGACTCCTGGGTGCCTGAGTGTCGGGAGCGCGGCGCTTGAGTAAATTGCGTGGACCTTCGAAGCATGAACGTGATTCTTGTGTAGATTCCAAGCAAGTGCCCAGCGAGAGCGTGATTCCAAAACGCCGAAAGAACGATCCCTGAATCAATTGTAAGGAAGTTGCAAACGAGAGCGCGACTCCTGAGTAAAATGCGAGAGCGCCTCAGGCGCGAGCGGGGGTCCTGGCTAATTTCTGAGGACGTCTCAGGCGGGAGCCGTTGTTGCTGTTATTGTCGAAGTTTCACGTCTGAAGAATAATGATTCTCGATCCCCCCTCACCGGTGCAGACTGTTTCTCTCAATCAAAGTGTGCCTCTCGACGCTCGCACCATGTTGTTTGACAGGGAAAGTCTTGGTGCTCAAACTGGGCCCCTGCCCCCCCGGATTACAACAGCAACGGCTCCCGCCTGAGACTTCCTCCAAATTTACTCCGGACCCCCGCCTTTGAGACTCCCGCACAATTTACTTAGGATCGGTGCTCCCGCCTGTGATTTCCCCGCAATTTAATCAGGACCCCCGTTCCCGTGTGAGACTTCCTCCTTACAATTTACCCAGGAATGGCGTTCCCGCTTGAGACTTCCTCGCGATTGAAACAAGAAGTCCTCACAATTTAATCAAGACCCCAGCTGCCGCCAGAGAGCCCTGTCCATTTAATTCAGGAATTGCGCTCTCGCCTGCGACGCCCATGCAATTTATTCTGAAATCGCGCTCTCGACGCTCAGGAATCACGCTGCGCCGCGTTCCCGCCATACTCAGGCATCCCGTTTGAGTGTCCCACCCGCCCGACCCACCCGCCCGTCAGGGGATAGCCCGCCCGTTCAGGTTTGCCCGCCCGAGCTGGAATTGGCACGGCCCACACCAATTCCAATGGCGGGCACATGTACGCCCACGAAGGATTGTCAGCCCGTTCAGGTTTGCCCGCCTGTCTAAGCCCGCCGCCCCCCACAAAGAGAAACAATCCCCCCAAAGGGGGTGTGATCGAAGACAACAAGGGCGGGTATCGAGGATGTGGGGAATTCGTTTTGAATGACACGCGGGCAGGTAAGAACGAACAGTCTTAGAATGAGTGTTGATGTTGTTATTTGGGGGCCAACAACGCAGTTTGAACCTGACACAAACATCAAGGTGCGAACCCCAGGGGGGAGAGAAACGCTTCAACCCGTAAAACCGAATGGTTACCGGAGGGGGGTCAACAATACGTAGTCTTCACCAGTGATAGTTCAACAACAACAGAAGCATTAACAGCATTACCGACACCAATCACACCAACAACGCCAACACCATACACATCACCAACAACATTGACAGCCACAACGTTAACAGCAATTGGTTGTCAGTACGGTTCGCTCTTGTTTGGTCGCGTTGCCATTCAACACGTGTATCCTAAACTCTCGGTGCCAGCCTCTTTCGGCTTCGATCGCACCTCTTTGGGGGTATATTTTCTTGTCTGGCCACCCGCATTTCGCGCAGCCCTTAAAACAAGGGGACAACGGACTGATGGACAAAGGATGGTTTATGATGGAACGCGAGAGAAATTAACAGAAGAGGGGTTCGGTGAAAAACGCACGTGGTAGATCCGGACGGGCAAATCGGGCGTGCAGACCCCAGCGGGCGGGTGTGCAAGGCGGGCCCTGGCGGTCAGGTCGAGCAGGCGGGTTGCTGAAACGTGGAGTCAGCATGAATCGCGAGGACGTCCCGGGCGATAACGCGAAAACATTCCAGAACACCGAAACGAGAACGTGATGCCGGAGTGCAAGAGGTCGTGGTGTCAAAGTGCATTGTTAGGGTGTCTCACGCGGGAGCGCGACTTCTGTATACATGGTGAGGAAATCCAGCGCGAAAACACGATTTCGGAAGAAAAAGTATGCGGCGGGAGCTGTTGTTGTGGCCCGGCACCATGGGCACGATGATTTGCCCGTGTAGACAGCAGGGTGCGGGCACCGACGAATGGCACTACATTTGACCAGCTAGGGTGCGCCAACTAGGGTGGATCAGCCACAGTTATGCTTCAAAAAAGCAACAACCTCATTATCAACCATCACAACACCAACACACATAACGACAACACCAACAACAACAACAACAACAACAACAACAACAACAACACCGAACATCATACCCGCCGCACACCTCTACTCCAGCCACGCACCCAGGGACGGTGAATGACTTTTCGGCCTTCTCACCGTGGAATTTGTGTTGTGCTGTGTATCGTGACTTTGACAAGGACGTCCGCCCGTTCTGTTTTCAGCGACCTTTCTTGGGTAAGGCAGCGACAGGCGGACATCCACAGGACCGACGGCAAGACATAACAGTAGCGGCGTCACGTCCTCGGCATGCATCTTGAAAATTTGCAGCCGAACTCCAGAATCAGGATGGGTCATGTTTCCACGGGTCTTCTTGCAGTTCATTCTTGCGTTTCCAGTCCATCTTGCACGTTTTTCGATGACCAGACCGTTCGGACAACTTCAACATTGGCGCGGACGCGGCTCGCATCCTCACCGCGCATCCTTATTACCACTGCTGATTGCTCGGTACATTCTGGGCGAAACGCATATCCGTATCCGCGGCCTCGCCGGCCAGGCCCCTGGGCCACGACCCCGTGGGTACGGGGCATTCTTTCGCGGATGCCACGCGCGGAGCGTATCCGTGCGACCGCGTAGCCGCGGAATTCCTCCCTGGATTCCAGACCTCGAGGGCGCGGATACGGATATGTGCGCCGCTCGTGAGTTGTCCATAATCGGCGCAGGGACCGCATCTAGATTCAGCACGCACCTGGGACTCTTGGGAGTTTACGCCCGAGGTCGGCTCGTGAGAGCTTGGGTTTCCCGTTGGACACGCCAGTGCCAGCGGCTGGGTTCTCCAGAGCAGCCCTTTCTTCCCGCCAGAGTCTGATCAGAGATCGTTGGTGCTTGCGCGCAGGCAGGCAGCAATGTATAGTCGGCCCTGATTAGCAGGTCGACCTTACCAATTAAAGGATGCCCTTGTGTATTGTGTCTGGCAACTCATGCTCCTACATTCCGATGGCAATGTGGCTCTCGGAATGAGGGTCTTGTGTCCTCTCGCGTGTCCTGTCCAATCAAGTCCGACTGTATGTTCGTACTCATTTTGCGGGGTCGCGTGTTGCTCTGGGCATCTGCCCTGCGTGTTGTGCTCCAGTCTCTCGGGGTACAAGCAATGACTTAAACATGAACTTTTGAAGATCTGCGCGGTTTTCCCAGATCGGCGTTGGAACCTCCTGGCGGCGCCCTTGGCGCCGCCCCTGGCGCGTTCCGCGCCCCAGGGAGGTCCGCGCGCATGCAAGGAATCCGTTACTCAACGCTGATGCAAATAATCCGCGCTGACCTCTGCAAGGTTATGTTTATGCAATTTGTCGTTCTTGTAGTGCTGCGCTCCCGTCCAGAGGACGCGAGGAGAAGGCTGCCTTCGTCTTCGGAAAAGTTGCACGAAGACGTCTCAGAAGGCGTGATGGCTTATGAGCCCCCGCCGCCTTCTGAGAAGGCCTGCCTCCCTGGGCCCGCCGCCAATCTGCGTGCTGCGCTCCCGTCCCGAGGCCGCGAGGAGGGCAGAGGCAGCCGCCAAGATGGTGTCCGACGCGATAGAGAGCCACCCGTTCTTGAGGCTGATGCAGTTCGGCTCTGCCAAAGCAGCCGCCAAGCAGGCCGGCGGCCCGGGTGTGCTCCCTGCTTGCCCGGGCTCCGCCCTCTTTAGGGGAACAAGAAAGTCACATAAACACGGTGTTTCGGAGGTCCGCGCGGATGTCTGCGATCGGCGCTGGACTCCTTTTCGTGGGCGCGGAGCGCGCCAGGGGCGGCGCCAGAGGCGCCGCCAGAGGGTGCCAGCGCCGATCCGAGAAATCCGCGCGGACCCCCGAAACATATATTTTCATGTCATTATTTGTTTCCCGGCGCTTCCTTCCGCCAGTGAAGCGAGATCGCAGGCGATTCGTCCTCCAAGATGCCAGAGTTTCTGCAAGGGTCACCCCTATCGCGGATGGAGGGAGGGAGGGCAGGGAGGGAGGGAGGAGGGAGGGAGGGAGGGAGGGAGGAAGGAGGGAGGGAGGCAGGAGGGAGGGAGGGGAGGACGGGAGGGAGGAGGAGGAGGGAGACGCACCCCCCTTCGTGTATCCCCCGGTCTGGCTGTAGTCGTTGGCCCAGTCGACAAATCACAAATAGTCCAGAAGTGGGGTCGCCATGCCTCCCGTGACGAGCGAGAGCTTCTGGGGTGCGCCCCCATTATCTCCTCCTCTTCCTCCTCCTTCCTCCTCCTCCTCCTCCTCCGCCTTCTCCTGCTCCTCCCCTCTCCTCCTCCTCCTCCTCCTCCTCCTCCTCCTCCTCCTCCTCCTCCTCCGCCTCCTCCTCCTCCTCCTCCTCCTCCTCCTCCTCCTCCTCCTACCCCTCCTCCCCCTCCTCCCCCTCCTCCCCCTCCTCCTCCAGGTCTGGCTCGTGCCCAGCCTCGGCCAGGCGCAACCTGTATCCAGAACTGACGCACGGCTGCTTTTCCTAGGCGATTTTCGTATTCGGTGGTAGTTGAAAGTAGGTATTTCTGGATCCTTTGACTCCAACCAGCTTCAGGCGCCTTCCTACTTCAACGATCGAGTGGATTCCCTTTTCCCTTTTATCTTTAGGAGGCGGGCGGAAGCCCAATCTATTTCCAACGAATTCCTACGTCATGCTTCTGCGGGTAGTGGCCTGGTTGGAGCTCAACGTAGGATCACAGGGGCCTTCGAATTCAGTTTGATTCATTGTTCTGTGATGGCACGGCAGCATGCCGAGTTCGTTTGACTCGTTAGATGTTGAGCGCGTCGTCGGCGTGGCGACTTGCAAACTCTTAGTTGTTCAGTGGCCAGGCCTGCTCAGAACGGTTCTTACTGACACATCCGTCGATCCGATCGGCTCCGCAGCCATTTTTGCCCAAAGATGTGTTTACGACCCAGGCGGTGGTCGCGTCCTGCAGTACCCCTGATTCTTGAAGCGCTTTTGAGCGGTGCCGCAGCGAGCCAGAGCCACGCGGCGGCGCCTGTACTCGACTCCGATGTGCCTGGGGCAAGCAGGAATCTCTTTTCTTCGGGCGTTCTCCAACGGGGGGGTGTCGCGGGCTTCGTGGTCGCGCTGCTGTTCCTGAGCACGGTAGCAGCAGCAGCAGCAGCAGCAGTCGTCCTTCCTGTCTGGGTAGGTGTTCCAAGGTGCGCTGAGGGGTCATGCAGGAGCCTTTCGTGCAGCTCGGACGCAAATGTAAAGCCGCGGTGACCGAACAAAGAGAGTCTGTTTTTTATTCCGGGGCGATAACGGGCGTCACCGGGGAGGGGAGTAGGGGGCCGGTGACATCACGTTTCGTGCGGGCGGTGTTTGGGAATGGAATGACCGAATACGGGTAATAGCAGCATGTAGGTTGCGATCTGTACAACAACGCCTGTGTGAACCACACTGCCAGCGTGCACCACACCGCCTGTGTGAGCGCCTATGTACACCACAGCAGCCCCGTGCAGCACAGCGCCAGTGTGCACCACAGTGCCTGCGTGCACCACCGCGCTTGTGTACACCACGGCGCCTGCGTACACCACAGCAGCCGTGTGCAACACAGCACAAGTGTACACCACAGTGCCTGCGTGCACCACAGCGCCTGTGTACACCACGGCGCCTGTGCCCGCAGCAACCGTGTGCAACAGAGCACCATTGGTGCAGACAGAATTATGTTTGTTTTATATGAGATCTGTAAAGGAATCCTTATGGAAAAAGGAGTGGCTCTGGAATCTACGAGTCCTCCCGAGTCCTCCCGCATCATCCTAGCTCCTCCCATCTGTGTCCAATAGGCTCCCGCAGAGTTGGTCGTCCGAGAACCAAGCGGACTGATTCAATCGACCATTTTCCGTGATGCGCGCTGAGATGCGTAAGTGCGTGTAGCGCCGACCCGCACGACGGGGGGGAGGGTGAGGGAGGAGGAGGAGGAAGGGGAGGAGGAGGAAGGGGAGGAGGAGGGAGGAGGGAAGACAACCGTTTCTATTATCAACACTCCCCTTGCGCGGTAGTTTGCTGACCGCAGCAGATCCTCACCTACGTGCTCTTTCTACCCGTCCTGTGCGCGCGGGCGCTATGGTGCACACCAGCGGTGTGATGCACGCAGACGCTGTGGTGAGTGTTGCGCGCGGATGATCTGGTGTGCACAGGCGCTGTGGTGTGCGCAGGAGCTGCCGTGCATGCAAGCATTGTGGTGTACACAGGCGCTGTGTTGCAGACGGCCGCTGCGGTGTACACATTCGCTGTGGTGTACGCAAGCACTGTGGTGTACACAGGCGCTGTGGCGCAGATCGCCGCCTACTCGCTGCTCCTGGTTGGTCTTGGTCGTCCCTGAGCATTCCCGGACGCCGCCAGCGCGCAACGTGGCGTCACCTAGGGGGGGGAGGCGAGCGCGGGGCCAGTGACGGCCGCTATCGCGGAAATAATATGAATTGGTTCAAACGGTGCTCGCACTTGTCAATTCAAAAGCGGCGGCCGCTCGGCAAGCGTGGCGTGCCCGGCATGGCCGCGCTCACGACCTTCACGACCACCGCAATTGCTGTCATTGGATCGATGTACCTGCCAGTGTCGGACCTTGACGCCCGTGTGACTCCTCCGGATGCCGAGACGCCCGCGAGAGGCAACAGCGCCGCACAGGCAGGCGTCGAACCAGTGGGCGTCCGTGAATCTCACCCTGAACACGAGGCGCCTTGCGTCAAGCAGTGGCGAAGCGCCCTGACTTGCTTATAGGCCCACCCAATATTGTTTTTAAGAACCTTTTGTAATTTGCACGAGATGTTTTTAAAGCATTTCTGTATGAGACCGTGTTGTTGTAGTGCATCGGGTTATGTTCTAAGAATCTTGCTCTTGTTATGATAACATTTGGGGGTTCTAAGAAGGTGTCCCAGCAAGCCTATAGGAACGCCAGGATGGTCGGTCCATGGTCAATTGCGGTGCTGAACCATTCGTGGGATGATCGATGCACGCGACACGAGAGTGCAATCTGACGCGTCCGGCAGCATCAATTGGGCGCGACGGCGGCGTGTGCAGGTCGACTGCGACATCAGAGCCGAGCTGGGCGCTGGGGTCCAGGTTGTCGAGCCTTTGAGGCCGAGGACGCTAGAACAACAATGCAGAAGGCCTTGAGACAAGAGTTACGAGTTCACTGTGAACACAAACAGCCCGCTGACGCACGCGTCGTCGCGACACCGTCTCCGACACCGTCACGTCGTCGCCGACGCCAACGACCATGTCCACGACGTCCACTATGGTCCGCACGCCGTCGCCCCTCTGTCCCCATGAGCCCGCCCCTGAGGCCGCGGAAACTTGACCACAACTGCGACCCCCACCGTGCAGGGCTCCGAGGATTTCGGCGCCACCACGATGTGGGCCACGACACCTTCGGCTGCCACTACCGAGAAGGCATGAGACATATCCACCGTCTTTTTTGTGTCGTGCACGCACTGCGGCGCAGTGGAGGCTGCTTCTCACAGGCTTGTTCAAGCATCCTTGTGTAATGCTCAGTGGTGCGCGATGGCGGGCGTACCCGTCGTGGGAATTACGTACCCTACCGAGCGCGGTGTATTGGCTCCTCCCCCAACATTTGTTGGTTGGATCGATCTCCCGAGAATCTTGGCTCAGACGGCCTCGCTTGATCAGGCTCCCCTTAGGGCGTGGGTTTGGAACAATGTACGTGCTCTTGCGTATTCTCTATTGGCGGTGGCCTAGCGCCAACCGTTTCGAATGTCGATTGTGTCCAGACCTATGATTGGGCTGGGCGCCTCCGTCTCGGATGCAGATGCACCACCAGTGTCTGCGACCTGCGTGCGTGGAAGCGCGAGGGGCGTTGCGAAGCAAACGGGGCACTTGCCGCCTGCTTCCTCCCCTCGGTTCTCCTTCTCCCTCGCCCTCTGCTCCTTCTCCTTCTGCCTCTCCCTCCCTTGTCCCTGCGGGCACCGCGGGTCCTGTTGAACGCACCTGTGAACGCCACACTGCTTTCGAGTGGTTGATAGCATCCCCGCGCACTCGAGGTCGTGTGGGCAGCGCAGGGCTTGTGTGCACCGCCGTGCCCATCAGCAGCAGCATGCTTGTGGGCCGCACAGAGCTTGCGCACACCACCGCGCCAATCAACCTCTGTGACTGCTTAGTAGTGTTCCCCACCTCCTTACCGCCCCCTCGAGCGCAATCGACTCACCTATGTCTTTCCTACCTGGTGATTCTAACCACACTTGGCGTGCGTTACTGTCATTGTCCGAAGTGTCAGCAAACTGCTTCCGATTACAATGCTGCTGTGGGTCGTGCCTCTCGTGCATGTAGGGCAACACCCGTGTGCAGATGTTTCTTGGCGCATCCGGATGCAATCAGTGCGTTATCTACGAAGCATTGCGCGTCTGACGGGAGCGAGTGGGGCGGCGATCATTCTTGCATTGCGGCTGAACATGCTGATACGTACCTCGTAGCCGGTTTCCACCGTGGTGCGGTGCCGAAGGAGACGGTGACCACATCGACGAAGCCATCCTGCGAGGCCAGCAACAACGGAACAACTCATTCCATTGGACATGGTTGTGATCGGACCCCGTGGGTTTTGCTTTCCAGTGTCGTTCCGCTCTGGGTGTCGCAGACGTGGCATGGAATCCGGGATGGGGAGCGAGTCGGAATTCGCCAGAAAGGAATGGTGCTGCGCCCGAGGCGGGGATAGCTCAACGTTGGGGTCTCCGAGGCCATGCCTCCACGACCACCCTCGAGTGAGACGCTGTTAGCTTCCCGTGCTCAAGGCCACTGCGACCACTATGCAGGAGACGCCGTCTCCGTCGCCATGGAACTCCGTGCACAGGGCCATCACGGCCGCCACGGGCAATCTGGCCAACTGTTGGGTGAGGCTGTGTCCGTTGTTTGACGTTCGTGCTGGATGTGCGTCCTGACAGAGTCGCATTTGCGTCACACAGATATGCCATACTTTGGACGCGCGTCTGCGATTCGGGAAGGTTGGGACCAGACGGCTCGAAGAGTTCCCCTCAAGCCTCATGAGGTTCAACAGCAGCGCATGACGAGGAGCACGGGTTGGCCAAGCTATCTGCCTATGTGCTTTCGCAGAAGAGGGGGTAATCAGGAGAGGGAGGAGGAGGATGAAGAGGGGGAGCAGGAGGGGGACGAGCATGAGGAGGAGAAGAATGAGGAGGAGTAACTAGGAGGAGGATAATGGGGACGACAAAGAGTAGGAGGACTAGGAGGAAGATAACGAGGAGGAGACCTCTTGGCAGCCGTTTCGGGCTTCTGGGAGCCTCCTCAGGCTTCATGATTGCCTCGTACCGCCATCCGGGGCCGTCTTGGAAGTAGATTGCGACCATCTCAGGTCAGACGGGGTAATCTGTGGCGTTTTTGATGGCATCTTGGATCGTCTTGGCGACAATGCAGCGCCATCCCTGACCATCTGGGCGTCGAGAATGGTGGTCTCTTGGAGAAGTCTGTGGGAGCTCTCTGGGGGCTCTGATGGGCGCTCGGTCGATTTCAGGCCCCTCTTGGATTTCGTGGCCCACGGCCCCTCCCGCAACCTTGCCTTGGTATGCTACTGTAGGGGACCACCAGGGAACCCTCTTGAAGCTCTCTCTGGAGGAGGAGGAGGAGGAGGAGGAGGAGGAGGAGGAGGAGGAGGAGGAGGAGGGAGGAGGGAGGAGGGAGGAGGGAGGAGTGGAGGCCTCTTGGAGCTCTCTCCGGGCTCTCTGAGAGCCCCAAACTGCCTGAAGAGGGCGCCCAAAAGGACAGCAAGAAGTTCTCAAGGGCCTACGAGGGTCCATGAGGGCTCCCGCAACAGCCCGCACCAGTGACTGTTGAGGGCTTGCTTCGAATTTTGTGGGGGCCCGCTGGGGGCTCTCTTGGGGCGTTCGGGCGATGTCAGGACCCTCTTGCATTATCGAAGACGCCTACGGCGAATCACCGCCGCCCCCCGCCTTTTGAAATCGCCCCATGTGGCCGAGCGTTGTGGCAAGAGCTCTGCCACGCTATCGGACCATGCGTTCCCCTAACCCTTGTTTAGAAATCCTTCGGGGTCTTTTTGTGGGAGGATGGCGGGGAAGATCAGGAGGAGGAGGAGGAGGAGGAGGAAAAGGAGGAAAAGGAGGAAGAGGAGGGGGCATCTTGGGAGCCGCTTCGGGCACTCTTGGGGCCTCCTGGGAGCTACCTGGCAGCCTCTTGGGGGCATCTTGAGGGCCTCCTTGGGACTATTGAGGGCCTTTGGGGGCTCTTCGGGGGCCTCTCGGGCCGTCGCAGGGCATTTCTGGTCCGTCTGACGCCGCCAGAAGCTGTCTTGGGTGCCTCTCTGGGCCGTCTGGGGGCCCACTTGGGCCGTCTTGGAGGCCTCTTGGGCTGCCTGGGGGCCCTCTTGGGGCCGTCTTGGGGGCCTCTTGGGCCGTTTTAGGGCCATCCTGGTGGCCGCTTGGGCGATCTTTCTGGGCTCGTGGTCCGTCTCGGGCCGTCGGCAGGCCGGAAAGAAGCAACTGGGAAACCCTTCAACACCCAAGGCAAATCAATAGTTTTGGCCTTTTCGGGCCTTTCTGGATGCCCTCTTGGATGCCTCTTGGGCCGTCTTGGAGGCCTCGTGTGGACCTCTGGGGCCGTCTTGGGCCATCTTAGAGCCATTTTGGCCCGTCTCGGTGGGCTCCTGGCCCGTTTGACGCCGTCGATAGCTGTCTTGGGGGCCTCTCTGGGCCGTCTGGGGGCCCCCTTGGGATACTCCAGGGCAGTCTTGGAGGCCATCTTGGGTTTCTTGGAGGCCTCTTGGGCTGTCTTGGGGCCCTCCTGATGCGGTCTTGGGAGCTCTTTGGCCGTTCTGAGGCCATCTTGGAGGCTTCTTGGGCTGGGCGATCTTGTGTGGTGATTTTTGGGGACTCCTGGGCCATGTCGGGCCGTCGGAAGGCCGAAAAGAAGCAACAAACTCCTTCAAAAACCTAAGGAACATCATCGGCCTCTGCCTCCTCGGGCCTTCCTGGTGGTTCTCTTGGAGCGTCTTGAGGCTTTCTTCGGGCCTCTTGTGGCCGCCTCGGGGCCGCATGGGGGCCTCTTGGGAGCCTCTCGGGGCCTGCTGGGAGCATCTTGAGCTTCACATTTCGGTTCCTGTTCGCCCTCCTGGGCCCCTCTTGGGGCGTTCTTGTGACTGTCTTGGGCCGTCTTGGAAGCCTCTTGGGCCGTCTGGGGGACCTGTTGGGCCGTCTGGGCCCCCTGGACGCCCTCTTGACGGCTCTTAGGCCGTCTTTGGGCGATCTGTGGGCCTTGTTGGGTCGTCTTGGAGCGTCGGGAAGCCGCAAAGGCAGACACACTGAAATCAGTCACGAACTAAGGAAAAGTCAATACATTGTGCCTCAGGGGACCCTCTTCGGAGTGCTCTTGGAGGCTTCTTGGAGCGTCTTGGAGGCGCCTTGGGCTGTTTGGAGGCCGTCTTGGGCGTCCTGGAGCAATCTTTCGGCGACTCTGGCCCCTCGTGGGCCCCTCTTGGATCATTGTGGACCCGATCTGCCGAAGGAGGGCCAAAGTCGATCGAAGGCGGCCTGAAAATAGACCGGGAGAGACCGTATTCTGACCCGGGACCCCCACAGGACCCTCCCCGGGACCCCCCCCCCTGGGACCCCTCCCTCCCTGGGACCCCCACCCCCGGGACCCCCTCTCCCCTTCGACTCAACTACGACTTCGCTCACGACATGGCTCGGTTCTTCACCTCGAGTTGACGAGGTTGGAGCGCCAAAGAGGGTGAAGAGCTGGGAACGCCCAAGAGAACGCCAAAGGGTGCTCCGAAGACGGCAAGCCCAGAACCCCCCCTCACAGACGCCAATAGGGTCGGTCGATTTTTCATCGAGGACCACTCGCCCGCTCGAAAATATCCCGAACTGTTCGGTTGCGGTCTTTCTGCGAGCGGGCGCGGACATTTTGATAATCCTTTGGCTCCCCCTGTAATCCTGGGCCTCTTCGCCGTTTCTATTCTCCGTCTCTGCTCATGGGCGGCTGTTCCCCCCAAAGTAGAGAGTGGTTGCCCCATTTCCTCTCGCTTTCTGCTCCGATCTCGTCAATCATCCACCCGTGCGCTCCCGTCAGAAACGAGGTGCGGTGGGAGGGGTGAGCAACAGAGCACGGAAGCCCACAAGGGGGGCAGGGGAAAAGGGAGCTCTCGCCGAGACGTCTTTCGTGACCCCATTTCCTCTGCTGCCGGGTCGCCCCCCCGCCCGCGCGTGCTGATTGTCAGTCTTGCACCCTCCCTCTTCCGGATGCAGCTCCCAGGAGGTCAAAGTCTGATTTTGCCCCAGTCCGAAATCCAGTTCAATCCAGCTTCATCCCGCGTAGTCCGGTTCACGCCCGCTCAAACAGTTTTTTGATCCGCGGGTCGAGAGCGCACCTCTTCTGGTCGAAGCTAAGCGGGCCGCGCGAAGCTTGAATTAGGCAGAGAAGAGGAGGGAGGAAGCGGCGGAGCCTCAGAGCGAGGCCGAGAGGAGGCATAGCCTCGCAACTCCCGCTCAAACCGGCCTAATCCCGCTTGATGCGGTTTACTCCCGTTCACTCGGGGCTCGATCCTCCTTCATTCGGCGTCACCTCAACATAATCATACTACATGTGCGTCGCCCCCCAGGGTCGGCGCGCACACCGAGAAATCTTACAGTGGATGTATCGCGGCCGCCGCTTTCTGGCCACACCGCTCGGGAAAGGATATACTACACGATAGGTCTACTATATGTTCCGGTCGGGCGCTCGCCTTCAAGGAGGACGTGTATTGCTAGTATGTCTCTGAGCGTCCCATTAATCCTTCCGGCGAATACCACCCCAGCAGTTACCTCCCGACGTTCTGCAGGCGGCGCTGCCAGCGCTGCTGGCATTCGCGCCGTCGCCCACGGTGCTGCCGCTCTCGCAGGCCTGCCGCGTGGCTGGGGTCCCGCCGCCCGCCCGTCTCTGTCTCCTCCCTTTGCTGCGAGCGCGGGCGTGTAGCGTCGGCGTCCGTCAGCGCGCTGTCAGCCACGCAGGGGGGTGGGGGGAGGGGGGAGGGCTTCTCAGAAGCACCCCTGTTGCTTAGAAGGCGCGGGCCTGATCTATAGATGTAAGACCGGCGCCTTCTATGAAGCAGCCTCCTAAGAAGCCCTCCCCCTACCTCCACCCCCTTGTACGCACCGCCAAGTCTCCTCCCTTTGTTGCGAGCGCGGGCGTGTGGCGTCAGCGTCAGTCAGCGCTCTGGGCTTGGGCTCTGGGCATCCCAGTGGCTGAACGCTTCTTTGCTCCTCCCCAGGGCAACGCTCGCCACCCCGGCCAAAGCCTCCCGCCCCCTGACCCCTCGGGGTAGCGCTAACGATCGCGATCGTAATTGGGGGGGAGCCTGCCCCTCCCCCCCCCCAAAGCTGTGGTGCGCGAGGGCGAGTGATGCGCCAGCGGCGCGGACGAGCCCTGGCGGGTGCACACCGCGGCCGCTGTTGCCGTTACCTTCCCGCCCGAACCCCCCCCCACTGGTAACGACCGCTACCCGGGGACAAGGAACAGTCATTGTCTTGGGCGTTGCGTAATGGAGGGGTCATAAATGGGGGGGTGGCGAGGGTGATCCGAAAAGGTACCCAAACGGTACCTAAACGAGCCCCCTGGGGCTCCGGAGGGGCCCGAAAGGGGCACGAAAGGGGACCGTTTCTGACCCCCCCATTTATGACCCCCCCGTTAAGCCACGCCCAATTGTCACGGTGGCGACATCTGAGCCCTACCCTCGCCGATCAACGATGCAGGCCACCCGACGGGCGGTGGGGGGGCAGGGCTCGGAATGCGTCGAACATGTGGCTGGCAAAGTTCGGATCCTACCCACGCCTCCCATCGGTTCAGTGGAGTCGATGGTTGGTGGGGGTAGGGTTCTCATGTCGCCACCCACCAGATCCGCATCGCCGATGCCTCGGTGATGCAGCTGGCGCTGCGGCTCGATGTGGAGCCCGATTTTCTCCGCGCCCACACCGCCAACGCATCGCCCACGTCGCCGATGCATCGCCGATGCATCGCCGCTGCGGCACGATCGCCCGGCCCCACCTGCTGCGACCCCGCTCGGGAGGCCTGTGGCGGCGCTGGCGAAGGAGGGCGGCGGGGGCCAGGAGGGGGTTTCGGCAGGTTGGGCAGCGTCGGCGCGGCGGCGACCTCCGCGCGGGCGTTCCACACTGAGCGCCGCCAGCAGACGGGTTGGCGCGGGGGCGGGGGGGGGCGGGCGGGGCGAACCAGTGGCGGCGCCGCGGGGGCGTGGAGAGGCAGTCGCGCCTCGCGCGTCGCGGTCTTGGCCACGGCGGTTGCCCCTCTCTATGGGGGGGTGGCGCGAGGGCGCCACCCCGAGATCGGACGATCTGCGCCATCGGAGAAAGCCACGATGAGGTCGAGGTTGAACGATTCACGCAGCGTCAGAAATCAGCGCCGACGATGTCGCGACGCTCACCTGCCGTGCACGGGGAGGGGGGTGTCCAAGAGCTCGGTGGAACCGGCGGGCAAGTGGGCGACGCAGGAAAACGGTGTCGCGCTCATCGACATCGATGCGCAAGCTACGCGCGTGAGGTCGCGCGCAATCGCCCTGGTTTCCAATGTGGCGTGCCACCCAGGCAGCCCGCGTAAGCTGCGTAAGGTCGCTGTGTCATCGCTCGAGACGAATTTCTCTTCGTCGTTCTTGTGGGCAGGATTGCGTCCGCAGTGAAGGCCAGCGTGGGTTTCCGGAGCCTCGCGGCCTTGCTGCGTCAATGCTGGGTAATTCGAGGGTCTGGGGCAAATTGCCTTGTACTCACTGATGGGACCGACTAGTGGCTTGAGTGCCTGCGGCACACTGGTGGACACATTATCCGGCTGCCTGCGGCAAGTTCAGCATCCGTGCCTCCGCGTCACTGTGCGTGTTGACGCCCAGACGGCTGCAATCTGTGACACCTCTCGTCTCTACTTTTTGAGGGGCCTGGATCGGGCCGTCTTGGGGCTGTCTTGGGCTCCTGTGGGGCCATCTTGGGGCCCTCTTGCGACCCTCTTGGCCGTCTTGGTGCCCTCTTCGGGCCCTCCCGTGGGGCTGTCCTGCGCCGTGTGGGGCGCTTCGTAGGGTCCTCATTGGGCTTTTTTGGCTTCCGTTCGGCCCCTCGAAGAAAACCTTCTTGGTAACACCTTGAGCCGAGTGCGCAGCACAGAGGGATGCACAGGGATGAGGCCTGTTCCAATGCCCATCGCCAGTAGTGAATGCGAAGAGAGCGCTGTCCATGCTCCCCCGCTCACTCACCTCGTACCTTCTCCCACTCCCCTTCTCCCTGCGTCTTATCTTCCGCCTTTACTCTTTCCACTCCAGGAGCGGCAAGGCAAGCCCATAGGTTTTCGCACTCCCGATCACCCTCGATATTTGAATCCGAAAGAACTATGAAGCAACTAGTAGCCAAATGGCAGAAGTTTGCGGTCAGACACGTTCGTCCGAAGGGCGTTTTCCGTTATACAATTGGCGCTTCCGGCGCCGTGAGGCGCCTGGGAATTTACTTGTTGTCCCTGCGAGGTTGTTTTTTTTAAGACCCAGGCTAGTTTACTTGCATGGCATTCCCGCCCCCCCTCGGCCGCCCTTTCCGACGAGCGCTGGGCCGGAAATGCGTGCAGCTGAGTCCTGGCTCACGTGAAGTCCAGATTCCCTTTCGGGCCTCCCCCCCCTCTTTCCCGCCGATGCAAGTAAACTTGACAGAGTCTGAAGGAGAAACTGCCTCTCGGTACGATGGCGCCTTCAGCCTTCATCCTGAGTCGATTTCTGACAGTCCCTGGGCCCAGGGAGGGCTCCGAGAGCTTGAAAACAAGGACAAACCTCCTTTCACGTCCCTTCCCTGGTGCCGCCCTGCCCTGGCCAGACCCCCTCCGCCCCCCTCTCCGCCCACCTGCGTCCCCCATCCCACGTACCACGACTGCGTCTGGCTGTCAGGCGATGGGAGGGGGATAGGCTCGGGCCGCGCGAAAGGGTTGGATAGGGAAATGGTGGGCTACGACATCTGCTGCATGCAGCTGGTTTCGCCCCGCCGCCGGGCCCATTCCTAGATACATGGGCGCCTCCCTGCGCTGGGAGGCGCCAGGAAAACTAGCTTCGTGAGATGATTATCTACCCGGCCCTTTGCTATCCTACCGTTTCGCCCCCCACAACAATCGCCCGCTGATCGCCGATGGGGACCTCAACACCCACCCCGCCCAGGAACGTTCTTGGCTGGCCCTAAACCTCAGAACCTCACCCAGCAGTTAAGGCCCACCTCTTTCTGGCAAAAGGATAACGCTTCCCGCACCTGGATGCGTTTTTCCCGCACCGGAAGGATGATGTGGCTCTCGCCTTAGCGCCGCGCAAATTCGTTCCAAAGACTTGCAAGAGTTCCGTGGATTGAGGGCGGCTTGTTTTCAAAATGTGGTTCTCGCTTTCGCGCCGCGCACATTCGTTTCAGAAACGAGATCTTCACGGACGGAGGGCGGTCAGTTTTCTAAATTCGGCTCTCGCCTCAGCGCCGCGCACATTCGTTTTGAAAACGTTACTAGAGTTTCACGGGTTGAGGGCCGGCTCGTTTTCAAAATGTTGTTCTCGCCACAACGCCGCGCACATTCGTTTCGAACATTTGCAGAAGTTTTACCGGATGGTGAGCGGCTCGTTTTCAAAATTGGGTTTTAGCTTCAGAGCCGCGCGCATTCGTTCTGAGCACGTTGCAAGAGTTTCACGGATTGAGGGCGGTTCGGTTTCAAAATGTGGCTCTCGCCATAGCGCCGCGCACATTCGTTTCAAGCATTTGCAGCAGTTCAACGGATGGTGAGCGGCTCGTGTTCAAAATGTGGCTCTCGCCTTAGTGCCGCACACATTCGTTTTGAACACGTTGCGTGATCACGAATTGAGGACGGCTTGTTTTCAAAATGTTGTTCTCGCTTTAGCTCCCCGCACATTCGTGAAACACATTTCAAGAGTTTAACGGGTTGAGGGCGGCTCGTTTTCAAAATGTGGTTCTCGCCTCAGCGCCGCGCACATTCGTTTCGGGAAATGTGCAAGACTTTTCTGGATTGAGAGCGGCTCCGCTGCTATTATTAGTTATATACCCATATGTTTGCGATTATTTCGACCACTAATATTAGGACGAGTCGTGTTTATAACTACTACTACTGTCATTACTACCACTACCATTATTAGTACTACTATTGTTTCTATTACTGCTACTACCACTATTATTACTATTACTACGACTACTACTACTTCTATTACTACTACTACTACTACTACTACTACTACTGCTACTTCTAATGCTACTACTGCGACTACTGCTACTACTACTACTACTAACAATACTATCGCTACTAACGCTATTACAACTACCATTACCTCCGCTACGACTACTACGACTACCCTTTTAATACCACTACTACTATTACTACTACTACTACTACTACTACTACTACTACTACTACTACTACTACTACTACTACTACTACTACTACTACCACTACTACTGCTATTACCATTACTACTACAGCTACTACGGCGACGACTACTACTACTACTACTACTACGACTACGACTACGACAACGACGACGACGACTATTACTACTACTTCTGCTGCTACTCTTGTTACTACAAGTGCTATTGTTGCGACTATTGCATTACATTACATTACGGTACATTACATCACATTACATTACATCACATTACATTACTACTACTACTACTGCTGCTACTACTACTACTACTACTACTACTACTACTACTACTACTACTACTACTACTACTACTACTACTACTACTACTACTACTACTATACTACTACTACTACTACTACTACTACTACGACTACTACTACTACGACTACTACTACTACTACTACTACTACTACTACTACTACTACTACTACTACTACACTACTACTACTACTACTACTACTACTACTACTACTACT